TGAGGAAACATGTTCGAGGGAGTCACGCCTTGCCCAGGAAGTCAGGAGGGAGGGGGTGACTCCAGCCCGGGGCCAGCTTTCTTGCCTGCGACTCCGTGCCACCCTCACGTTCTCTGCATCTTCTAGGCCTCCCCTGCCTTTACTTGCTGTCTTGATTTTTCCCACTGCTTCCCAGAAGACTGCTCCAATCTTTTCCAACTTAAGGCAGAGTTCTCCCTTCAATTCTCTGTCCCTGCTTATGGGGCCTAGACACAGGTCTCACTGAGTTTTCCGATTGGGTAAGAAGGTCAACAAAACACATCCCGCCCCTCGGGAGTCTGCAGGGTGGAACTGCAAACCGTCCTTCCCGTTCGAAGGGTGGACCCATCAGATGATGCTGAAATCATGTGACGAGTGACGTGACAGGCATTTACGAGGGCACGCAGGAGACCCTGTGAGAGAAGTGTCAGCTAATGCTTGGAGAGCCTTACTCCAAATTCTCCCCCACAAAAAAAATCTTAAAATGATTTCTAAGTTTTACTGGAGGCCTCAAGAACACTAATTAACCACAGCTTCCTTCAGTGTAAACAATGAATAGTCATAAAGATATGAACCGGGTAGGAGCAGACTCCTTCTTGATTCTTAAGTTGGTTCGATAAGACCCTGTCCCCATAGTTACTTATATTACTCCTTCAGCAAGGTCACTACTAAGTGCTATATTATTCAGCAACTTATACGACACCTGAACATCAGGTGTTTGACTTGTCCTGACAGGAGTTCTGGGAGAAAGCCAGTCAGATGCCACACACAGCGAATGAGGGTGAAGTCAGAACCTCAGCCTAACTCTCCTGACATCATCACTCTGCCTCTGTCCTCCTCGATTCTCTTTTAGGAAGAAGAGGGGGTCCAAGTAAGAGTCAGCGAATGGCTGACAAGAGAATCAGGCTCCTGGGAAAAACTTGCAAGAAAAAAGCAGAGCCAAAATGTAGGTCCCCCCCCTCTCCCTCCTTCCAGCTTCATCATCCTTCAAGAAGGAAAGGAATCGTTTCTGACCCAAAGGAGGCTGTAAGTGTGGCCTTCATGCTCAGCTGTCTTCCCTAGAGAACAGGACGTTCTGCGTTTAAGTGGGACCTAGGGTGGTGGTCTTTGGGGACCTTGTGAAGAAGGAGGGAAAGGAAGGAAGGAGGGAAGGAAGGACAGGTGAGAGGATGACACGAACATGATCTGACCGTGCCACAGTATTCACGATGGAATGAACACTCCCTTCAAATCTTACCCCACAAAATGAGAAGTCTCTCTCCCTACCCCCTCCCTTCCCCTCCCCCCTCCCTCTTTCTCTCTCCACGCTGGAAAAAGAGTAGACTTTATTGGACGAGCATTTGGCAATAAATGCTTGTTTTCTACAGTTACACAGACGCTTGTATACCTGTCTGTAATTTCAGGGGGGCCAGGTCTGGGAACAGAAAGAACAACTGGGAAACCACTGCGATAACCCAGGTGAGAAGCGTCGAGGCCCCAACCAGGGATGAGCGGAGCTGCCCATCCCGTCAGCTGGTGACCAGGTGACCCGGTGACTGGCCGGATAAGCAGCCGGCTCCTTGAGACCTGTGAGTTACGGATCTCAGGCAGCCCCCGGGAGCCGCCCGTCCCCCCTCTCTCCTCCCGTTCTTCTCTTCCTATCCTCCAGAGTTTGCACCTGGTCGTGCTGCAGCCACACCAGCAGGTCCGCCCCTGCTTTCTGCCGCTCCTACTCAGTTCGCAACAAATGCCGCCACGGGACAGGCATCCACTGTGGACCGGACACGGCACGACACTTAAATACTTTAAGTACATCATCACATGCATAACCTCATCACAACTCCTTAAAACAACTCTGTCGCCCCCACTTCCCGATGCCGATGAAGACACGAAGGCTCACACCCCTCAGCTGACCCGGGACTCAAATCTCTACTTGTTTGACTCCCAAGCCTTCCTACCAACTGAGTCACCACCTTTGCCCACGTGCAACTTACAAAAACCCCAGAAAATACAAGGAGGGTTCAGGTCAAGAAGGCCAGACATGAGAAGCGATGGGAAAAATAGAATTTATGGCGCGAACAATTTTGGGTTGCAGACAGGTAGTACGCGTGTGCTTGCCGAGACGATGCGAACACACGTGACAATGAGCAGACGGGATTACCTACACACACACTTTTTTTTTTTTTTAAGAGAAAGCCTCAGAGCTGTTGTCTGAAGAATTCGAGAAGCACGGAGCAGTGGGGAACTGAAGGTGAGATCTCCGTGGCGCAGGGGACACAAAGAACGGCACGAAAGTGACGTGGAGTGAGACTCGGGCCAGGGTAGCGAGGTGAGGACTTCGCTCTCCTGGACTCACTGAGAGAAATGAAGGAGGGGCTCCACCCTCCCACAGGCTGGGCGTCCAAGGGGCACATCTCAGAACTGCACTCAGCATTGGAAAGCAAAAACAGAAAACCCTTTCAGATACCGGGGGACAAAGTGTCTCCCTTGAGCTCCATTTCTGTGCTGCGCTTCCTCAAGTCTCCCGTCCCCCTCCTCGCCCTGTTCGGTTTATCTCGCCTCTGGGTCTGTTTTCCCTCCGCCCGTCCTTGACACTTCTCGGCACCCCCGAGTACATGTAGCTGACTTTTTCCAGTCGAGAGCCATGCATCTGCCAAGCCGCCCCTAGAGCATGCCCGTTTCTGCCTCTGGTTCTCTCTCTCTGTCATTCTCGCCCTCCCCCTCCGCATTCCTTCCTCGTTTCCTCTGAGCTGCCTCTCCTTCTCCTTTCCTTTCCCATGATTAGTGAGTCTTTCTTCTTTCCTTCTTTCTTCCACTCCGTGAAGTGATGTTTTTTCTCCTCCAAGCCTTTCCTGGGAGACCAGAAGCAGAATTTTGTTCTTTCAAATCTAGTCTGACCCAGAGAGTCTCGGGAGATATTGCAGAAAAAGCGAGATGTAAAGAATGCTGGCCAGAACTATTCCTGGGCGAAGCAAGCTTCCAATCAGGGACCCCACAGGCTAGGAACCTTCTTGTCCGCTCCCACAGCGACTCGAGTTGCGGTGCTCTAACTTGAGCGATCTTTAGCATCACCTGGGGCCTTGTCCGAACAGAGTGCTGGGCCCCACACCCTCAGGCTCTGACTCAGTAGGTCCGAGGTGGGACCTCACGATGCACACTTCTAGCAGGTTCCTTGGTGAGGCCATCTGTACCGGTCCAGGGGCCGCACTCAGAACCACTGAAGTGAGAGTACCAAGGGCAGCTGAGTGGCCAAGGCTCAGCAGTGAGAGGCTGGCACAGGAGTCACAAGAGGGGATGGAGGTTCACTCCCTGTCACATAGACAGGGGGACTCAGGGAAGCCTGGGAAGCTCTGGAACACAGACCCAGAGGATGGGCTGGGGTGCCGTGAGCTGGGAAGGAGAAACAGGGAAGGCTCTCTTTCTAACCTTCTGGGAAACACTGGAGCCAGCCCCAAGCCCTGTTTCCCGCCCTCCCCCCTGCGATCGCACACTGGAGCAGCAGAAGGGAATGCTCAGGGTGCTTTGATCCCTTCCCAGTCCCCCAGTCGTCTGTTTATCTCCCACTTTCCCTGGCCTCCGCTCCCCGCCCCTGCCCAGCCCGTGAGTCAGTCAGCCCGCCCTCCCCGCCCTACCGCCGCCTGTTTTTCTAATGATGGCAGGAGCCGCGCTGTTCTGCTGGCCCACGCCGTCACAGGGAACAGTCCACGCTCACCCCTCTGCCTGGTGCCCTCTCACGAGGCTGTCTCACAGGTCTTGTTTCCCTCCGTGGGAAATGCCACCTTTCCCCTTCTTCGGCCTCACATGGATCCCAGTTTCCCAGAACCGCGCCGAGAGAGACAGAGACACAAAGGGACAAAGGGACTCGCCCGAGTGCGGGCTGGGTGTGGGCGGGGGGCGGGGGGCAGGGTGAGGGAAATCCACGTCCGTGGAGCAGCTCTCGGCAGCACACGGCAGCAGCCAGCAGGAGCCAGGCGTCGCTGCTGAGCGGCTTTGTTACTTTCAGTGAGCGATACGGACAACACCTGATGTGACTGAGAGTGGAGTATCTGTCTGTCACCGGCTGTCCCCAGGGTGACAGACATCATGGGTCCGTGTGCGCAGTGATGCCTGCTCTCAGTGTCAGGATCCGGGCTCACCCATCCATCTGAATGGGGCCCACCTCATTCATGGCTCCTCCTGGCGGTCACTCCTGTTCACTGGCTCAGGGAGTCGCAGCGCCCTCTGTGTCCCCGGGAGGGAGCACATGTGAAGCAGCGGACAGGGTCCCTTGAGGTGGTCAAGGTCTCCACTGGGTCACCCAATAGTGGACGGTGGGCATCGAACTCGGAGATGCCTAACTGACCCATGTGGCTGATGTGAATCAGGGGGCCGCCAGGCAAGGGGCCACGGGGAGAGGGGAGGACCACGCGGCCTGAAGAACAGCTGTCCTTCTGGGGTTTGTGGCGGCCACGCGGATCCAGCTAACCGTCCCATGGCTGCCAGAGAGGCTTGTTTTCCAAGAGCAACATCATCGCACAAAGTGTTTTATGTTTATTTTTACTTGGAGTATGTGTGTATGGGTGTGTGAAATGTTTTATATACACATATGAATTTTATGTGAAAAAGCCCCACTTTTTAAACACGAGCAATCGAAACAAAATTGTTTTTAGACACCCTGTTGGCCAAATAAGCCTGGCCGTGAGCTGCCAGCCCTCGAAACGCTGACCGAGCTCAGCGCAAACGGGGCCCCGCTAGGGAGTACCGAGACCGTAAATACCTCTGATGCGCTTGTGACGGACTTCTTAACTAAGTCGTTTCAAATGAAACCCTGGAATTTCACTTAAAGAAAAGCCCAAATCAGAAACCCCTATATCTGTCACGGCGGGATCGTGGAGCTCAAGGTAAGAAGTTAAACAAAAGGCGAGGGAGTGGAGGAAGGGAGGATCTTGAGTCGGGAAGCCCCGCGGCCCCGTGGGGGGAGCAGAGGAGTCTGGTCCGGGTCTGGGGCAGTGGAGGCGACCTACCTCGCAAGACTGGATGCAGTGGACCAGGACGGGGTTGGGGTGCCACTCACGCCGCCCGGTGCACACGATGCCCTGGAGGGAGAGGCAGAAGGAGGGAAAACAAAGACACCCGGTCAGTGGGAGAAGGGGCAGATCCTGAGCTCGCCGCCCCCACCCCCCGGTCCAACCCTGTGCCCCAGGCAGCAAGACCCGCCTGTGCCCACAAAAAAGGTCAATGTTGTCTGGTCTCGCCCATGGAGCTGCTAGCCCACTGATGACACCATGGCGCAAACTCAGTGGAGCGGACTTTTCATCCTCTTCTTCCTCCTCCTCCCTCCCCCAGGTAGCCACGTTTCCAGGGCGGTGGTGTAGGTGTGGTTTAGAAAAGAATCCTCAATATTATAATGAGTGTCAAGTGGTTTAGGCATAATTCTGGTTTCGTCTGTTTTGACATTTTCAGTAATGTTACAAGAAATCGCAAGACGGCTGTGCTGGTCGGGAAGCACTGGGGTTTTTAATGGCTGAGAAATGCAGCTTCACAAGAAGAGCCCTGAGCTAGAAGGGGACCCCAGGGATGCGAGATCGGAAGAAGTGAGCGCCCCAGCAGGGCCTGGAGGCTAGCGCTTGCTCTCAGCGGCTCCGTGAACCCCACCCTTCTCTTCCCGGGAGGAAAGGGAGGGGGGCCTCTGCACTGGACAAAGGAGGCCAGTGAGAAGCTGCGGGGACTCACAGCGGCACCAACACAAAGCGGGGGAGTGTGGACACACACTTGTGTCAGCACACAGGTGACTTTCTCGTTCTCAGCGGCCACTTCCAGATGCCCATCGAAACCATTGTCTGCCCTTTGTTAAACAATAGCTCATTGTCATTGGGCTTTTTCCTTTTAATTTTTGTGCTTTAAAATTTCCCAAGATCCACTGCAGGAAGAGAGAAGGTCCCACGGGGGTCGCACGGAGAAAGGGAGACCCTCCTCGCAGCCTGCGACCACCTGCCCACGTGCAGACTGTCAGAGTCACATTTCAGTTTGGGGCCATGGGAATTCCGTAGGACAGTACGAAAAACAACACGCAGGGAGATAGGAGCCTCACCCAAGGTGGCAGACAGCACCTCTGGGGGTCGGAAATTACACGCTCTACAGTGCTAGGCGTGCCATGATCACATTGGAGGTGTTTGCGTATGTTAACACGTGGGTACATGGATGCATACCGCCGAGTCACCTCTGAGAATAGGAGTCTGCTATGTTCTCCTGGAACTATACAGCTGGAAACTAAACTGAACCTCCTCCTTCACAGCTTTCCTAAAGTGCGAGAAATCCTGTAAATCCCAACACGTTCTGACGTTCAAACTTCCACACTGTAATGATGTGGGAGGCGCCTTGGCATGAGTTCTCACGGCGCGCAGAAAAGGGATCGTTAAATCGAGTTGGGATGGCCAATGCATACGGTAAACGCATAAGGGGTGTTCAGGGGTGTTCCCGAAAAAGTGAGCTGTTCTGCACCCGACGCCAGTTAGGCAGACTATTTACCCATACACAATGGCTCTGCTACCTAGAAACGATTCGTCTGTGTTCTAAAGCAGGTACCAGTGGAATTGTGTCACCGGATAACGGCAATGGAAAAATACCGTCACTTGTCCCCTTGGAATACAAACCCAGGGCAACTTGACTCCTCCCCCCAGCACTGCACCCACCACGGCCCCCACCGCCACCCTTGTCAGCCCGGCGCTCGGTCCAGACCGCACGGCTCCACGGCTCCACCGCAGCGCAGCGATCCAGTCGCTGCTTCAGAGCGAGTGCTCAAGGTCTGCCGGACGGGGGGTGGAGGAATGTCAAGTCCCTCCAGTAAAGGGATACTTGGCCTTGAAACCTCTCATGATGACCGTGGCCAGAACTCTCCAGAACACTCTGAACTTGGTGTGTCAGCTTCTCTTATACCCTCCAAACATTCTAGCCGATCCACCCCTTTTATAAATGCGGGGATGTTCGTTCGGTTGTTTTTTAAACACTTTAGAAATTCTCAAAATACAAGTATATTGCAAAGGGAATACAAGAGGGAGGAAGAGAGTCTATCTTTACTTTCAATTCTTTCTCTCCAATGCTCTTTTCTCCTATTGTTTCCAGTTGATTTTTTACACTTTCTATTGTCATGTCACTGCATGTCCTCAGCATGTAATGCATGCTCACAGAATACCACACGAAAGGCAGACAGGAGCACACACGACCTCCGTCCTGCTCCCGTTCTCACTGCCCAATTGTCTCCCTCCTGCTTCTAGTTCCTTTTTGTATCGTTACAGAGATAGTCTGTGCGTGTGCACACAGAGACGTGTACAACCCTTGACTTCCTCCCACAAACGACAGAACACTGTGATTTTCTTCTGCACCCTGGTGCACGCCCGTCTAACTTTATTTCGCTTCACCGTGCCTCTGGGGTTCTCGGCATTTTGCAGCCGCCGGGCTGCTGGGCCCTTTGGGCTGCAGAGAACCCCACTGCCTGGATGTACCCTAATCTGTTTAACCACATCTGCATCGATGGATATTTGGTCCCAACAGACAAAGTCTTCTGTTCCGACAAAGCGTGTGTCTAAATCATTTCATGCATAGCATAAGTTCGTGGAAGGGCATGGACAACAGCCATGCCCACTTTCAAATGTTCTAAAATTCAGTATCGAGACTAATTGAGACTGGCAGCCTTCCTTAATTTCTATAAAAACATGAATGCTTCTGGTCCCTATGTCACAGACTTCCCTAGACTGCAAAATCCTGGAGAATAGGCACTGCCTCCCACGGGTATTTTTTAATCTCAGTGACATAGAGACGAACGATGTTTTATGAGTAACTGTCGGCCCCTGAACCTGAGGCTGCATCTCTGGGGCTTTCCTCTGCCTTCCCGCCTCTGGAAGCCACTCGCCTGTGAGTAATCACACACACACATGCCCTTCATTGAACTACTTACTGATCAAAGCTGGAGGAAAATGTCCAACGTTTTTCAGGACCTGAATTTTGCGGGGACACCTGTGGTGGCGAGGGGACGAGGGGACGGAAAGGAAAGGAGGAGGGCTGGCCCCGGTGAGTGCGTTGCTTTCATCAAACAGGGGAGCACTGCACTGGGGCGCTCACGCCGTGGCGGCTCACAGAACAAGCCAACCACAGTCTAAGCCCCGAGATTCTCAAGGCCATGAAATGGAAACATAAGGACAACCGACCGCAAACTGCCAACGAGGCTTTAAAGCGATAGCCCGTCAGTAATTTCCTCACGTTGCTCCTGCCTTTTCTCTGTGATCGAGTCCTTCCCCAGAGGAGTGCTCCTCACTTCTCTGGTTTCGGTTTGCCTTCAAACTCTTAGAAACTTTAACATGCCTCAGTTTATCTTTTAACAGCTCACTATGATTTATCTTCTGGGACATTTTTGACAAATGATAACCATCTACGCTACATTTGAATGGCTACAGGGAATACCTGAAAGAACAACTTTATATCCTCTGCCCAACCCTCTCAAATCTCAACACTTTTTTGTATCTGCTTCCACAGTATAAGAAGTCACTAGAGATTTACTTATTGTCCCCTATATGTGTCCCTCCAGTATCATTCTCCTTCCTTCCTCCCTCTGGGGTAACAATGATTTTGAATGTTTAAATTATTATTTCTGTACATGTGTATATGGTTACAGCAACTGCTCTGTACTGTTGGCAAGTGACTTCTCAGATGAACTGATTCTGCATGAGTAAGTGGCAAGTATGTTTTGAACTTTCAGCCCCAACTGGCGTAGCTCAGTGGATTGAGCGCGGGCTGTGAACCAAAGCTTTGCAGGTTCGATTCCCAGTCAGGGTACATGCCTGGGTTTGAAGGCCACGGCCCACATCAACCACACATTGATGTTTCTCTCTCTCTCTTTCTCCCTCCCTTCCCTCTCTAAAAATAAATAAATAAAAATCTAAAAAGATATATTTTTTAAAAAACATCAAATTTTCAATTAAAAAAAAAGGAATGTTTTGAACTTTCATATAATAAAAGGTTCCGAGAAAATCAATTTAAATATTTGAGCCATTAAAGTTGGTTGGGCCATTAAAATTTTTTTAAAGCAAAAAAAAAGTCAGAAAAGAAAGGAGAACAGGAAGAGGGAAGAAAGGAGAGAGAGAGAACACTTGAGGGCCGTTAGGATGGTCTGAGGCTGTGCGAAGGCTGTTGCCCAAACGCCAAGTTGAAGGTCACAGGACTGATGGTTAGCCAACATGAAGATCTAACACGAAATTGCTCAATTGTTTTCTTTATTCCAATAGTCGCTTGGCTCATCCCGTCAGACTACAGAGCTCTGCTGCCGCCCCTGTTTGTGACAATCCCCTCATTTCTATAGACGCAGCGAGCTAAATGAAATGCGGGCTTATTCCGCGCACTGCCCCAGGCTCTGGCGCACTGCCCGGCGTCTACGTCTGTGCTTTAGTCCCTCGCCGCCTGCCCTCCGCGCCCCTCTCGTCTGGTCTGCTGTGGCCACGAGGGACCCGGGGCCTGGAGACATCTTCACACGGAGAGTGAGCGGGTCTGTGCTTATTACGGCTGATGAAAAAGACGACCTCTGATGGCTCATGGGACTGGGTGATCTGTGTTCCCGCTGATGTGTGGCAAGTGTCACTGGAGCTGTTCGACACAACTGTACCCTTCGAGGAGACCCTGGGGGTGGGGGTGCCAAGGAGCAGGACGTGGGAGACAGAAGGGTGGGGAGGCTGTTCTGTTGGAAAGCACGGCTCCTGGAAGACACTATCTTTCCTGTTTCTTCCTGCTACTCTCTTCCTCTTAAAACATCCTGTTTTTATTTCAGTAATTATTAATCCTTTAGGGACCGATTTTGGAAAGCAGAGCCAGAAGTTATAAGATTTGTTTTGACGGAGCAATTCTGTTGAAAAACTGGGGAGCTGGGAAAGGGATTTCATGCGGTGCCCAGAATCTTTGCAAACCTGACGTGTGTAGCCACAGGGAAATCTCATTAATGTGGACCACGCTATATTAATTTGGACTTCATAATCATAATGTACTAAAAAAAAGGAAAAACATTCCTTCTAAAAAATAGATTTATGAAGCAAACAACTAAGGGAAATAGGATGTTATGATGAATGCTTTTGTCCTTCGGAAAGAAACGCTTCCAAATTCAAGTTAGAAAAACTCATTTACGTGCACGCAATTGCCACATTTTGTGCAGAGAAGAATCTCCCCATGAAATCGGGTTCCTCAAGGATCCCTTCTGCACAATGCAAGTCAGAACCTTCATTTTCCCATCTTAAGGAGGAAAGCCACGAGAGGTCAGGAGACGCCCTCTCCATACGATGGTGCACCAAGGAAACCCAGCCTGGCAGAGGCCTGCAGGGCAGAGCAAGGCTGCCCTGGGGGGCTGGGGCTGTTTCTCTTCTGGGGCTCTCCGGTGTTACCCGGCAGCTGCGTCCCGAGCAGAGGACGACACAAGTCACAAATTGAAGACACCTGGGGATCCCAGGACAACACCATTCCTGCCCTCGAAAATCCTACGGTTTTAGTGTTAGAATGACAGAAAAGAGAAAAGGAAACAAAAGAATGAAGAGGATGAGAAAAGCACTGAGTGCTCCCAGAAAAAGTCCTAGCAGCTCCTGCACCCCCTCTGCTCAGGCGCCCCAGACATCAGGCAGCCGGGTGTTCGGGGTGTGCGGGAGGGCAGCCTGGCAGGAGGCCCTGGTTTCTGGGCACAGCAGTGGCGCGGACCGGACCTCTGGCTGCCTTCTGCCTGTCCCACCTGCCCGATCCCCCTGCTCCGTCACCTTGACCCGCAGGCATCTGTCGGACTTCCGGGAGCCCTTCTGTCTGGCGTCCCCTTCGCTCTCAGGCTAGTTCCCTGCGGACGCTGTCACCTCAGGAAGGGCCAGATCCGTGTGTGTGGCGGGTGGGGGAGGGGGCACCGCACGACACCCCAGGGCCCCGGAAATCCACGTGGGAGTTTCAAGCCCGGCCTTCGATTCCCCACACCCAGCACACCCTTGGAACCATTACAAATAATAGCATATTTTCATCTTTACACTCTCTCCTCTGTCACAACCCAAGCTGTTCGAAATCATTTCTGCAGCCAGAGGAGCTCCAGAAGGAGACACTCCAGGGTGATTGGATTAACTGCGGAGCTAACGCTTGGTTTCCTTTTGGCGTAAAGACCATTGATTCGGCAACTCAGAAACAATGTGCTCAGTTCCTTTGGTTATTCCCTCTGTTTTCAATTTTGTTTGTCTTTTCCTAATTCCTCTTTCTTTTTACATCCTTTCTTTTGTTTTCACTCACTTCTCTGGTTTATCCTAGTTTTCCTCTCCTTTTTAAAAAATGAATAGATGTATTGGGGTAAAACTGGTTAATAACATTATATGATTTCCGGACAAACGCCACGATAGCTTGACGTGTACGGACTCTATTGCAGACTCACCACCCAAAGCCTGGTTTCCTCCCAGCCCTAGTTTCCATCAGTGGTACTCTTTCTCTCTTACTCCTTTTCCTGTATTATTATTCTTTTGGTCTCAGAGTCTTCCTTCTGAGGACTTTGTGGATGTGCGCCATCTTTTTCCTTAAGCTTTCCCTCTTTTTTCTTCGTGACCTGAAATCCTTCTCTTTAGGAACGACCCACGTCGTTGTTTGCTTTAGGGATGCTCTGAACGCCTCTGACACGGCTCCGGGGAACACGCTGTCTGTCGAGAACTGCTGCATCCCTGGCACCTAGACAGGCCCCTGCGCTCACCTGGACTTTGACGGGCTCCATCCAGTGCTCCACGGTGTCAGCAGTGACGTTCTCGGGCAGCACCACGGGGTCGCTCGGGGGCACGATGCACGAGGGGGAGCACACTGCACCTGAAGGGACAGATTCAGTCAGAGCAGACACTTGAACTTCCCCGATCGCAGTCTTTTTCATCCTGGAACCAACAGTTTAGATTTGCCAAGAGCACTTCCTTTCCATGTTATGGGCCACCTTTGTCACGCTCATGGGCTGCTATTCATCTTCTGTGCACCTGTCAGGATGCTTGCTTCCCCTGCTGACTGGTGAGGAGCCTCTGTCCCCAAGTTTACTCTCCAGGCCCCAACTGGCCCCTCCCCTTGCTGGCCCAGGACGTCTTTGGGATCTCTGAACCTCCGCATGACCCAGCAACGAAAAGATGAAGCAGACCTCCACCCCCCACCCCGGAACTCTGGCTGGCCAAAGTCTGTCCTGGTTGGCCGGTGCATTTTGAGTGCATTTACTATCATTCTTGCTTATAGGGTCATCTACAGCTTGTAACTGCAGCACCTACTACCTAGGCACTTGAAAGGTACTTAAAGTGCTGGGATGAAAAGTGGCCCAGAAATTATGAAGGCAGATTTATGGTGTCTGCACTGAAGATCACACCGCCTGCCGGTGGCCACGAAAACTATGTCACTGAAAGAGGAAACAGTGGGAAATCACGAGCAGAGATTTTGGTCATATCATATGTCAGGCTCTTGAAGGAAAATCTTGCTCCACTCTTTGGTAGATGGAGTCCAAGTGTCTTACAAAATTCTGTTAAAAGAAAGCATAGTCTAGGGTTTTCTATTTCTTCATCTATACATTAAGGATTTCCAAGTTTCTTTTTGGCTCTCACTACATGTTTTGATTTCTTTTTGCTAACTTGTGTAATAACCCAAAATGCTGCAGGACTCTGCAGGACTCTGTATGTGAGTGCAGACACTTTAATGCAGAAGTCAAAGGAGGGGAGATGAGAGTTGCTCACGAACCACCACTTGAGAGGCGCAGTCCGAGCACCCCACTGCCCAGGCCCGACCTCAAGGTGCCTCCGTGCACAGAGCAATCTGAAGATGGTGAAGAGCCATCTCAGAATCTAACCAGCTTTCTCGTTAACGCAAATTACACCCACTGGCATCACACAAGTTAGAATGACTTATAAAAACTACCGCTTGCTTGTAGGTGTCAGGACTTGGGGTTAATTGCACAAGGTTTTCCACCCCCTGCATCACCTTCCCATGATGCTTTGGTGCAGCCAGCACAAACTTGAGTCACCACCACTGTAGGTCAGCTCTGGCCACAGAGCCCTTTAACTGCAATTATTGATACTTGATTAGGAAATGGCCCAGAGGCTCCAGAGCCTGGTCCCCCGTAGAGAAAGGACGGCTGAAGAGCCACGCCAGACAATGTGATCTCGGATCGTCCCTTTCAGGAGCAACCACTGCAGCTGCTCTGCGGAGGGGATGGAGGGGAGCCCAGCACAGGCCGGGGGTGCAGCTCCGCATTCCTACCTCTCCCACTGGAACTGCAACTCCCCCCAGACTCGCGCACTTTCAGCCGCAGTGAAGTGGGGGATGTGACCAGACGCCACGCGGGTGGCTCAGCAGCCACGCCAACCATGTGCACACGTGGGAGACTCAAAGGAATGAACTGGCCACGAACTGTGCTCTTATGGAGGCAGCTCAGAGTCCACTCGCACTTCCGTCCACTCCTCGGGGACAACAGTGGATCTGACTCGAGGTCCAGCCAGGCCTAATAAGAAGATTGTTTTGGAGCAACATTCAGCATCTCTCCCTGAACTCACCGATTCCGTATCCCTGCTCACACTTGTACTCCACGGAGTTCTGCCCCGAGGGGGGTGGCGGGCACTCCCCTTGCAGCTGCTCACACAACTTGAACTCCTCAGTCCACCGTCCCTCCTTGGTGCAGAGGATGGGGAGCTAGAACGGTAGAGGTGAAGGACATTGCATTACTGCTTTGTCAACTTTACTTAGACTGCGGGAAAGTGATCTGACCAAATGGCACTGTTCTTTACCTTCTAGAACTTAAGACTAAAACACATTACTGACATAACAAACCATGCTGTTACTGACCAATAAGAGTCACGACAATTTCTTTTTGCTGTTTTGATATAAAGGAATCATAACGAATTCTGTCATTAATGAAACTCATTCACGATGTGTTTTCCTTTGGCCATAAAAATTGGATGAGCTATGAAAAATAGGATGAGCTACCTATTCTGAGATAGTTTTGGATTTTTTTTTCCATATGGTGTTTTGCATTGATTCGTCCATACTGCCACACAAATGCTGTCTGTGGCAAATATGAGACTTTTCGAGATGAGTTTGATCCGGTGAAAACAAGTCATCACGTCTCTGACGGCACGTTCTGCCTTTCTACTTGAACGGACACGGCACGGCGGCTTCCAGTCACCGGGGCCCTGCCGCTGCCCTTCCCGAGTGCGTGCCGGTTTGTGCGGCTCCGGGTGCCAGACCCCCACCACCACCACCACCACCAAGGGCCCTCGGCGCAGAACACACAGAGCAGCACTGACTCACAGAACCCAAGAGAGTGAGATTTGGGAATTACAGACACTAATTCTTCCCCCGTCTGGCCAACTTCGTGAGCCGTTCAACAACCAGTGTTGGTGGAGGTGCCTGATGCCTTGTCGTATTCGCGGCAGACGTGTTTGGCCGCTGTCCGGCAGCACTCGACGGGGAGTGCTGGACACTGAGAGACAGACGTGCGCCAGGAGGGCACTTGAGGCCACTGGTCTTTGCTGAGGTCTGCTTCGTTTCCTGTCTCATGCATGCGTGTGGTGCTTGTAAAGATTCTACAATAAAATTGATCTTAGTCATAGGACTGTGATAAGACTGCGTGGCTTTCCCTGGGGACCTCTCCTGCCAGATTCCTAGAGAGAATCGTAGTTGGGCAGCACTTGCAGCTTTGCCTTTGCTGAGGAATGCACGCATCTGTTCGGGGCTCTGTGCTACCGCAGAACGTAACACGAGTGTTCCCGGCCAGGGCAGGTCAGTGGTGGCGTGTGGGAGGAAACTGCATTGCCGAATCAGAACCTCAGCATTTTGGGGGCATTTATTCAGGGACCCAGACCATCAGGTTTTCCTTCTTACCCAAGAGAAAGTCCAAAAAGAACATTCCAAACCCATGGTATCTTCTGAATTCCCCATCTAATAATATCCGTACCCCTGTTAGAATCCCAGCTTAGTAAGGCCCTGCTGTTGGGATTAATTTATATCACTCCTACTCAACATCCTTGGACCAGTCATCAAGACGAGGGCACAGCCTTATCCAGAAAAGGTTCCAGTCTTCCTTACCCTTTCCCGGTTACACTTGAGCACGCACTGGCTGCCGAGCTCGAAGCCGCGGGTACATTCATACATGCCTTCGAAGACCGGGGGCGGGGGCTCGCACACCACTGGGACGCAGCTGCCTCGCTCCCAGGTCCCGTCCGCCAGGCACTGGATCTTCAGGAGCTTGCTGGTAAGATACGAAACATAACAAAAGCCCATCAGACTCCCTCAGGGGGGCCATGGGAGAAGACTCCCGTATCTTTAGGAATACGAGCTAGGAATTCACAAACAGGCAGAGGCAGGTGGCTCTGTCAGCCACAAGTCCTCGCTCTCCAGTCTCATTTCTAAGTCAGGGAAGTGAAAAGGGCAATCCATGTACACGCACCAGGGACCATAGTGGCAAGTGTGACCTCTGATACAGTGCTCTCAGAAGAGATGGCTCAATGTCAGTGCAGGGTCTGGATTATTTTGAGTTGGGTTTTCTTGTGGCCTTTCATCTTGCCGCGTCCCATGCTGCAGTGCCCCGGGGAGGTGTCGGGTAGGGTGGGACACAGGGAGGGCTACACATACTCAGGGGATGCTGCGGAAGGGATCTGCGTGTCATCGGTGTTGCCATGGGGATGTCAGTGAAGCTGCCAATGTTTAGCGGTTCTCCGGAGCGGGGAGAAGGTGCAGCCACGTGAACCCTCTGCAGCGGCGGCTCTCAGCCCGAACTTCAGAAGGCCGAGAGCCTTGCTGCAGATCACCATGGTTATTGTGTTTGTTTGTAAGTGGAGTTTTTCCTTGGCAAGAGTTCGTGGCTTTCATCAAACACTCAAAGTAGACGTGACTCAACGCTGTCCTGGAAGGCGCGCCCTTCCTTCTTACGCACAGACGTGGCCCCCGGCCAGAGAGCTGCCTCCCTTGGAGGGAGCCGGTGGGTGACGGGAGGGGGTCTTACTGCCGAGGGTGCCATGCCATGCCCCGTCTGACTCGCTGCCAGTGTGGGGGTGCTTTCCACAGTGCCGTTTCAATGAATCCGGTTCTGATTCAAAATAGTCCTGGGTACAGATAAGTCTGTGATTCCAAAGCAGGACTAACCCCTTGGCCACTGACTCAACCACAGGGTGGCCTCCAGTTGCTGTTTTCTGATATCACGAGGCCCTTTGTAAATTTCAGCGTGCCCGACACCCCCGAACTCTTGACTGATGGCCGCACTGCTGCACAACGCCCCCCATGCACTCCCCCAGCACCTCAGGTTTGCACGAGGGTGACATTTACCACGCTGTTCTACAAGTGTGCACACCTGCCTTTCTCACTAGGTCGGGAGCTTCCTGAAGGCAAGGGTTCTTACGGTTCTTTAATCCACGAGAAATTAACTCCATCTAGCTTACATTAGGCGTCAATGAAATATTTGCCGAACTGAATCATTTAACCCAAGTTCCAGTGTGTGAAGGCACACTGGAGAGCGCACTACACACTTTAACAAACGGAACCATCAGAGCACTCCTCGTGAAAGTGGTATTGTTACTCCCGTTTTATAAGGGAACACACTCAAGGACGTGAAGTAATGTGCCCAAGATCCTATAGGACAGAAAGCATTTCATTTCAGATAATTTAAGTAAATTTTAGTAGCTTAACGTATTTTAACCATATGCACTTGGAAATAAATAGTTATCCACTCCTTTATTCCTAGGAATATTTTAGAACAGGAATCTGAGTTTATGACCGGGATACTTTAGCACCGTGGTTTATGTGGACATGTATCTATTCTCCGCTAATAACAAGTACTATTCTGGAGCTGTATTTCAGGCATCTGGCAAGACACCTATGTACATTATTGCACAAAACCTCCCAAACAGGAGTTGAAGGTAATATCGTCACCCACGTTTCAGAGAAGGAAACCGCGCTGGAGGGAGATTGAAAGCTGGCTCAGAGATACACCACCAGCGACCAGCAGGACCTGGACCAAAGCTGTTCCCTGGCCAGAGCCTGTGGCCTCGCTGCGGGGCCCTTCTCCACAGGCTTAATTGGCTCTACCATTGGCCCAGACACGCTCTGCAGTCCACTTAGAATACCAGCAGCATCTCCTTCCCACTGGGCATCCCAGATGTCCTTTGTCTTAAGGCCACAGTTCTCAGTGTGGCGGAAACAAGAGGCTCCTTTAACACTTTTGCACTGAGGAACAAACTCCATACACAACATTACACAAAGCTTAGCCAGAGCTCCAGACATTTTACCCGTGAACACACTGGGCCATCATCACCCAGACCCAGACACAGAGTGCCCGCAGCCCTTGGGTGCCCCGGGGTGCTTCTGCCTGGTCGAATCTGCCCGCTCCCCGCACCCCGCACCCCGCACCCACGCCATTCTGCCTCTCCGCAGCATTGGCCGCTCTCGCCCGTTCTTGCGTTTCGGATAAAGGGAACCCCGCATGATGTACTCTTTAATAATGACTTCTTTCCCTAATGGAGGCTGTCACCTTAAAATCTCTCCCCAAATGTATTTCCAGTGAAAGGGTCGCTGTTGTTTTTACTACATGGAAGCCCCTTTATCTTTGTTTCTGCCCCTCTCCTGGACTGGACTCTTCCCTCTCCTTTCCACTACAGAGCTTATATCCTCCTGGGGAGTCTCTTCCTCCCACCACCTGCCACCACTGAAACCCTTCCCCTGCCCCCACTGAATGATGCCCCCGGCTGGAGAGAGCAGGCCTGGGTACTGACGCCAGGGTCGCGGCAAGGCTGGCAAACCTCGCACGGCAGCACAGTTAGAGAGGAAGGAAGACCCTCGCCTGGCCAGGACGGTGATATTCTGACTTCACGTGGTATTTTTCTCTCAATTGCCTGGGGCACTTCACCCAGAGACACAGTCCTTCCTTTCCCTGGCATTCGACAAGGTCAGTTTCACGCAGCCCCCTGCCTGTTAATAACCTCAGGAGTGTGGGGAGGCTCGACACACTCGGGTGGCAAAGAGCGAGTGGGGTGTGGTGGCCTCACGGCCGGGAGTGATGACTCCTGGCTCCCTAGGAAATGCAGTTGCCTTTCTGCGGGGACCCCTGTGCCCACCCAACCCCTGGATCCTCCTCACAGCATCTTCTCCCTGGCCGGGGGGGAGGCGGGTAGCTGCCAGTGGCCATCTCTCCGTAAGCCTGGCACAGCCTCCGCACCTCCACCTGATGACGCACTTCAGGTCCCTCCTCAGACTTCTCACAAAGCATCCGCGCCTCAGGCCCGGCGGCCAGGGCTGTCTCCCTGGCGATGCCTGTCCACCCCCGCTTGTGGCCGGAGATCCCAGGGCATGCAGCAGGCACCTGAATGCGACTGGGTCCAGCCATTTTGCACTGTGGTTGTGGCGGGAATTCTGAGGGTCCTGGATTCCCCCCTGCACCGAGAAACTGGGTCTCTGCACAGAGCCCCTGAAGAGGACTGTCACCTGTACGGGCAGCAGGACTGTGACCTCCAGTGGTGCCATGGCTGCCTCTTCTAGTTTGCTGATGCCGAGGAAACACCCTGACCCTTTTAATGAAAAGAACCGGTTTATTTGCAACACTCCAGCTCCTTTGCATAGAGCGTATGCATAAAGAGCTGAGTGACACTTTAAAGTCATGGAAGTGAGTTCGCATTTCAAAGGACGCTGGCATTGGACACTGGACCAGGGCACACAAGCAGGCCTTTGGCAGGCCCTCCAGCCTTTCACGTGAAACATCCCACGCACCGACCATCAGCTCCCTGTGTTCTCTTCATCCCCGTGGAGCGGGAGAGGCGAAGCTGTCTCATGTCACAGGCAGGAAAGTGCACAGCGATACCCATGAGGTGACCCGCCCAGGGCCACACAGCAAGCAAGCCACCAGCTGAAGCAGCAAGAGCATCCAGAGTTCTGAAATCATGAGGCCACGCCCTGACTGTCAGACCAATGCTTCCCAAATGACGCTGAAGATGCACGGTGCAGAAGGCATTAAAAAAATCAACACCACTAGATCGACAGGCAGACAGAATAGGTACAGGTGAAACCTGTATTTTTAAAACTGCCAGCAGTTTTTAATACGTAGCCAGGTGGGAAAATTAAGAAAAATCTGCACTCCTTTCTTATACTAGCGAAATGAAGCCACAGGCATAGAAATCGGGGTGCAAAACCACCCCCTGAAACAACCCTGGTCCAAAGGCTGGTGCCCAGCAAAGGCCGGGCAGCCGCGGCCACACGACTAACTGAGCCGCTGGGACCACGAGGCGCTGTGGCCCAAGGAGGTTCGCATCTATTTTCCCTCCAGCGCCTCCGGGCAAATCACCTCGACTTCCAAGTCAGGAGACACGTTTTCCAGTTTCCAGAGCCCGTGGCGTCCACCTAGAGCTGCAAACCCAGCTGCGCTCTCTCCGCTTCGCGCCTCTCTGCCAGAAACAAGGATCGTGTAATCAGCGCTTGGCCGGAGGTTTGATGGATGTTGCTCGAGGCATACATGCGCCCGCCCCGTCTTTCTATCACCAAGGCAGGGTTTTTCGAAAGTAGTGTTTATTTTCCTTTGGAGAAAATAAAAGCATGACTGTGGACTCCAGGAGAATTATCGGGTCTTCGCTGATTGAGGGCGTCTGGTGTCTCCATCGGGCAGTCCCTCGCGAATAATTACAGTAACGGAGTAACAGCAGGACGTCAGGCGCCTACGAGGCCCCGTGCGGGAGTAGTTTCCCCTCAAACCCACCCAGGGCGGTGAGACGAGCGGCACCTGAGTTCTGGGCCCCATCATCTCCCCATGTGCTCTTCCCCGGTCAGTCCCAGCTCGGAAGTACACCGCCCTCCACCCCGTCACTCACACCTGAGCCTTGGGAGACATCCTTGATGCTACCGTGTCTCTCCATCTTGCCTTTCCCCCAGCCCCCACCTCATCTTGCTGTGCGTCGGCAAGTCCTCTCAGTTCTAAGTCCCAAAGAGCTCTGGAATCTGTCCCCGTTCCTCGTGCTCTGTTAGAATGAGCAGCTGCCGACCCCTAACAGTGTGCGGACGGTTCTGCCCTTAAGCCTGGCCACCCCGCACGTCTATCCTTAGACTTCCTGCTGCTAAATGCTAGGTCTCCGAACTGCCGGGCGCAGGAAGGCCTTGCCCCAGGTCTGCGCACCTGACTCAAGGTTGGGACCCCTCCTCCATCTATCTCTGCCACTGCCTTAACTGTCTTAACTTTCAGCCTCTCCCACGTCAAGTTCAACAGGCCCCCCACCC